GGGATAGCTCTAAAAGACGAAAGACCATTGATGTATCTCCCTTTCCTATGTCTCCTGAGGTCCAAGATGTTCTTTACTCTAGTGCCAGTTTACCCCACCACCAAAAAACCAGGGTGTCCCGTTCCAGTAGCTATAACTTCACCTTCTTCCATTCATTCCTGATTCACACCCAGACCTTTTGTTCATAAGGATGAGGCAAAAAAGTGATAAGGATATTTTTCTAAAACTTAGGGAGAACCATTATGTCCCCCATTTAAACCGCCATAGGCTATTATAGGGGGACTAAGAGAGCAATGAACAGTCATCCCTCACCACTTTCGCAGCTTCGCTCTATCGCAGTTTTTTCAAATACTATGCTACGTACTCAACCATGTACTCAGTCATTACCCTTATGCACTAGGACCATGTCAGTCCAACAGGAGAATCCAGGCAGCTAAACCAGAATTTAATTTTGTTTTTTAGAGAGAGTGGAAAGGAAGGAGGGGGAGAATGAGAGGCTGAGAAACTTCAATGTGAGAGAAATGCATTGATTGGTTGCCTCTGAATGCACCCTGGCTGGGGCTGGAGATCGAACCTGCAACCCAGGTACATGCCCTTGACCAGAACTGAACTCAAGACCCTTCAGTGTGAGGGTCAATGCTCTAGCTACTAAGCACACTAGCTAGGGTCAGAATTAAGTTTTTTTTTTTTCATCCTCACGTGAGGACATTTTTTTCTTTTATCTTTAGAGCAGGAATGAGAGAGGGAGGGAGGGAGGGAGAGAGAAACATCCATGTGAGAGACACACATCGACTGGCTGCCCACCCACACGACCCCAATTGGGGCCAGGGACAAACTGCAACTGAGGTACGTGCCCTTAGCAGGAACTGAACCCAGAGACTCTCTGGTCTGCGGGCCTACGCTCTAACCGCTAGGCCAAACCGGCCAGGGCTAAATCTTTTTATGTTTTTATTGATTTTTTAGACACAGAGGGAGAGATAGAAACATGAATGTGAGAGAGAAGCATCCATTGGATGCTTCCTACACACCCTTACTGAGGATTGAGCCCGCAACCTGGGCATTGTGCCCTGAGTGGGAATCGAACTGGGACCTCTCAGTCCATGGAACAATGCTTAATCCACTGAGCCACACCAGGCGGGCAAGTTTAAATCTTAATGTACCAATCAGGCCAACCTGCAGTTGTCATCAGAGGAAAGACAAGCATCATGCCCAGGGTAGCATTCTGGATTTTCAATATAGTTTTATAAACCCCCCACACCCCATTCCCTTTTGTTGTTATCATTACCTAGGAAGTGGCCAGGAGGGGATGATCTCTTTGGAGACAGTTACAGCCAGTGACCAAAATACCTAGTACTAAAGTGTATGAACTAGTAGTACGTGAGGGATATAGAGTCTTTTGAGATGACTGTAGATAGTAGCACAAAAAGTCCTGAGTACTGAGGCCATTAGCCCATTGTTAAATGGCTTTTGCAATAAAAGGTACACTATTGTCAGACTGCACATGGTTCAGAACGAAAAAATCATGATGGATTAGTTTCAAGGGCCACAAAAGTGTGGCTAGAGTCAGTTGATTGGACTAGACCAATAACACCAAAGCTGACATTGTCAACAATGGTGAGGCACCAACAATACCCCTGAGAGAGGGTCAAAAGTCCAATGTAATCATGCCAGGAGTGGGCGGGGGCCACACTCATGCAGTGTGGCCTCATTCCCTGAGACGAATGTGTCATCTTTTGTCAGGAGTCCAAGTCTGGCAATCAGTGGTAACCTTTGCATCAGAAACAGATTCCTGTACTGTGCCCACTCTGATGATGGGTGTGGACCATGTCCAGTACAGTGATGGTCAGAAGTAGCAATGGTGGCAATCAGGGCAGCCCAAAGCGCTGTCAACAAATTGACTCTAGTCAGTATCATCAGAATGGCCTCTACCATGACGTCTACGTGACTGGGTTGGTAAATAGTTGTGAATTGTTTTTATACTTCATGTCCCCAAAGAGGAGGTATTTTTCAATCTGCCAGTAGTTTTTCCAAGTGAAGACCAAAGAGCTAGGCCATTGGCAACAGCCCAAGAGTCAGTACAAGTATTACAAAGTTCAAGAAGACTTGGTCAGAGATAAGACAGTGGCCTTGAATTCTGCCCACTGAGTGTAGTGACCATGTCCACTTTCGGTTCTACATGTTAACACTGAAGTTGAACAGCCACAGCAGATGTTAGGCCTCCTCCAACTGGTTTCAGTGTAGCTAAACCATCAGTCAGTCAGACCCAGGCATTTAGGGGAAATCCTGAATTGTGAGAGGCCCCCAAGTCAGCAGCTTTGCTTCACACAGAAAAGTCGGAGGGAGAAGAAGGCAACTGATAGTCTCCCAGGGGGGTTGCTGGCACTTTTCATATAAAGCCAAGATGCCACAGAGCCAGAACAGCAACATTCTTGAATATATCATTTCCATTTGATGAGCAAGGCTTACTGAACCCTTCCTACCTTGGTAGTCATTCAGTCCAAGTTGACCCACCCCCAAATGGCCCTATTAGGCTGAGTCATGAGGCCCTTATCAGGCCTTTATCATTAAGGCATTCAGTTTCAACAAGAGCTCAATAGCAAGCAAATAAATAGTTGCTTTTTTTTTTTTTTTTAAAGAAATGGAGTATTTGGGGAATACTCCCCCCCCCCCCCATTTCTTTTTATTTAGTAATGGGGAGGAGGAGACAGACATCCATCCATTTGTTGTTCCACTTTTTTATGTATTCACACTGGTTGATTCTTATATGTGCCCTGACTAGAGATCAAATGAACCCTCAATCTTGGTGAATCAGGACAATGCTCTAACCAACTGAGCTACCTGGCCACAGGGCAATTAATAGCTGCTTTTCAAATGGGGCGTATGTGGTAGCTGTGTTAGGGAAGCTATGAGTCCAAAAACCTCAAGGGGCACCTCCAGATGGAGGCTGCCTCCTCTTATCAGAGGCTCCAATTGGCAAAAGTATCAGTCCTATAGACTTGTAGCTCAAACTGGAGCCTCAAAGTCACTAGTACTTCTCTACTTACACTCTTCTCAATCAGGAGAATCTCCTCTGGCACTTAAGGAATGAGGAAACACGGGTGCACATCAATTCCTACTATACAGACGTAAAAGTAACGATTGAATTGGCCCATGCAGAGGTCACTTCAGCACTCCTTCTCCAGGTGAATCCTGCCAGAGCCCCTTTGACTACATTCCAGGTGCCAGCTCCCCCCATGGGCCTGGGAGAATAGTGATGGGCTCCTGTATCCAGCAGAGCCATACAAGTTTGAGTTCCTCTCCACCCCTAAGTTCCCCAGCTTACCTGCCAGGCAGATAGACCTTTGGTCCTCCTTGGTGACAGGGAAAAGTTGTCCCCTCTCCTAATCATCATTTCCTTAAAGCAGCTGAGGTTGGGGTACAGGATAAGGGAGGGATCAAGAGCCAGGAAGGAGTGTGCCAGAAGCAAGGTGCATTGACTTTATTTTAAGCAGTGTAGTGGCTGACAGCAGCCTCATCAAACAAACTTCCAATGTTTCCAGTCCATCCAAAGCACTGTAATAGGCAGCCAAGTCATTATCTCCTCACACTATTTCAACCTTAGTAACCGTGGCAGCCACAGCCACATTTTCCAGCTGTGGCTGGAGTTTGTCCTTTGGCTGATGACCTTCTTGAGCAGTCAGTCCACCTTAATCTGGGCATTTGCTGCCCCCTTATCAAAATAACATCTGTTAAATTTAACAGAAGTGCTAGGAGGAATCTTCCATGATGGCAGGACTGATTGCAAGAAGTTATCTAGATTTCTTTGGATCTGTTTTTCAGTCTTCAGTGGGTTACCTCATTAGCACTGTACACCCAACCTAGGGCAATAAGAGCCTTAATACTAATCTAAATACAGTCATCCCTCACCACTTCGCGCTTGGACTTTTCGTGGCTTCGCTCTATCGCAGTTTTTCCAAATATATTCATTAAAAAGTTGATCAAGACAGTGAAATGATACAGCACGTGCTTGGTTGTCTGAGTCAATTGTACACCCCTGTATTACAATTAAAATTAAAATTACTGTACGTATGGACTGTAGGCCTGTGTATTTGAGCGCCCCAGGAACCTTCGACGCCAGGTGCAACTGCTAGAGTCTGGAACTGGTTAACCGCGATAAACGAGGGACGACTGTACCTCGTTTATGGTTTCTGTAGGAATTAGTCTGCCTCAGGAAAATCTCTCTAAGAGGGCCAAAGCTCCTTAAAGCAGTTTGTATTATAATTTAAAAAAAAAACCTCGAGACCTTTTACTGTCATCTCTAGATGGATGGATCTAAGATTAGCATGACAGACTGAAGAAAGAGCTGAGCTGAAGGACACTGCCTAGCTGTTGCCATTCTTAACAAGGCTTATATGCTCATTCCCTCATCTTCCAAGGTTCTAAATATTTGCCTGGTTTCTGCCCATAGCAGTTGGGTATTTCCCTTTCATGTTTAATGTAATGCATGTTTCTGTCACTGTTGTCCGATAGAGGGCAAAACTTAGTATTAGTTGTTACATTGGCATAAACCTGAGACTGATCTAATATCAGCCTCTACTTGCCCTACGTAGCAAGCTAAGTTAACTTTCCCCAATTTTGTGGATGTGGACTGAAGACACAAGTCTCCTAGGTCAAGGACAAAGGACTCTATTACATCAACAGAAGAGTATCAGCATTGTCATGAACCATTTTCCCCAAGGCCCAGTTCCCAAAGAGCAATACAAAGAGGACCAGTGTCATCTGTACATGTAGTGGGTTGTTACGAGAGCAGTTCTGAACTTAGAGAACCCCAATCTTTTATAATAGGCAGTAAACCTGTTTTATCAACCATTTTCACTCATGTTGTATGTCCCGTAGGTATAGCATGCAGAAAGTGCTGAGTAAATACTCATGGAACTTAATAATCCAATTAATTGGTTGTGTTATAAGCAAAAATGATACTTTCACATTGTTTCTGAAACTTAAAACATCAAACATAGTAATGAAAGAGTAAATTAATTTTATTGACTGATGAAAAACTAAAGTGATAAGAAGTATGGATAGTAAACAATAATCATTGCATTCTCCTGGAATTGTTTTTCTTCTTTTCACTTTAAGCCAAAAGGACAAAAAATTATAGACTGATAGTAAGCTAATTGTTTTAAGTATTTCTTCAACAAAAACTGCATAGCTTAGCAGTTGTACAGCATAAATATATACATTTTTGCAAAACCCTGAACGTTTTAATTTTTGTGTTGACCTCAAAGGCTAATGGAATCACCTACACTGGTCGAATTCAGAGTTTCTTTTCCCTTTTCTGCCACCCTGTAAAGAAAAATAGGGCAAATTATTTAGGAAATACCATTTTGGGGGCATTTTCATTTTAAGAATATATGAAACCAAAGTCATTTTTTAGTATGAGATGGAAGCAGTTTCATTTTTGAGTTTGTTGCGTATTTCAATGCATACTACTAAATTATTTTTAGTTATTTTTACAAATGGTTAAAGTAGTTGTAGAAAAGTTACATCTATTTGAACTAGTCTAGACTTAGTAAGATCACCAATGTTATTTTTTAGAGCTCTTTTAGACTGTCCTAGATTGTTTTTAAAATAAAAATTTTGATCAATACTAACACAATTTATTCCATATGATCCCTTTTGGGTAATTCAATTTCTAATGCAAGTTTTGTCTAGTTTTCTTCTTATCAGACAGCATTAGTAGTCTGATTTTGTTCATCACTGGTTTGAAAAGTAGATTATACTTTTCATATTACTCAGTGACATATATACATCTGTATTTAATCTGCTCCATCTGAAACTCCATCTATGGTAATTGACTTGGGCCAAGAAAAAAAGGCAGCTTAAAAGACAAGGAGCATTTTACATTAATTAATTTTAACGTAACACTTTCTGCCTTACTATGATGTAAAAAGTAAATACTAATTGTAGAAATATGTAAAGTACAAAGATACAAAGAAGAAAATTAAAATCATTCATAACTACTCTACCCCCCATTTTAATCATAAATAATGATTTGATGTTTTGCCTTACAACGATTTGGCGGTTTTTTCCCTCCACTTTTATAAACTATGACAATGACACCCAAATTTAGTTGATCATTAGAATCACCTGAGTAGTAATATTTTTTAAATTCAGATATCTAGACTTCATCCCAGACCTATTTATTCACAATTACCAGAAGTGGGCCAAACTATCTGTAATTCAGAAAGCTCCAAAGTGATTCTGATGATCAGCCAAGTCTGGGAACTACTTGTCTATGAAAAGTGCATTTCTTAAAATGGTGATTATATCAGGGGCACATGAAACCCAGGCCCATTTAATAATGGTGGCAGCTTCTCTCTTTTTTTGTTTTGTTTTCATCTTTTTTTTCTGCCTATAACTTTCCTCTTGGTGATCAAAAACATTTCTATATCAACCTTCATTTTTTAAAAATCAAGTCTAAGAATGCTGTTAATTCATTCCTGACCAAATAAAAGTTTTGCAAGGGTTCATTCAGGGAAAATAATATTAAGAAGTTATGTGGGACCTGAGATATATAATGACATGTATTAAAAACAAAATTTATTTCCTGATGGCAGAAAAATAAAAATTTACCAAAAATATCCATTGTACAGTAGATCCCAACTACACATAGGTAACAATGTTATACAGCTTAAAACTCTTACCTTGCTTCCAACAAGATTAAAAAACACACACACAAAAAAAATTTCAAGAATCATTTTCAAAGCCTCCCAGGCAAATTCTCATTCCCAGACTGATGAGATGTCAAAGCTGGGGCTAAACAACTTTTACATTCTCTAGGCCACCAGTGGTTTTCAAACTATTTTTACTGTGACCCTACATTAACTAATATGTTTTATATCATGACTTAGACACACATACATACATACAAATATATGTCTGTGTGTTTATATATGCACATATACTGAAAAAAAGCACTGATATTTTTTACTGCTTTGTCCAGAATAAAATGCTGAATGCCAGTTTGTGAGTACAGAAGAAATGACAGAATTAGAAAAATCACTATTTTGCAACCACCAAAAATAACTACTACACGTATCAATGGATGCTACATCATTGAGTAAAAAGAAAAGGATAGTCACACAATCTCAAAGTTATTACTCCACATATCATTTATTAATTTACAAACTGGAAGATATACCTTTACAATGAAGACATCTAAAAGACATTGCTGTACCCAAGTGATTAAACTTTTTATATAATGGGACAAATGTCATTATGTGCCTTCCTTCGATGAGTCAATGACATGTATGCCACATTATTTACGTAGTACCAGAAATTTTTCTGAAATAACTTTAGTTATTGCTGCATATCCAATATCTAGAACAATCTCAATATTTTCTAAAATATAAATTATATAACAAAATTATTAATATTTCTGATTAATACATTTTGGCCTAAGAACAAAACAGTGCAGTTATTCTCACATAGTTATCTATTTCAAACTTATTACTTGTGATGAAAACACTTTCAAAATTATAAAAGCATACCTGATATTTGGCTAATTCTGCTTGTAATACTTTCACTTTAGATCTTTCTTGTTCTAACGCAGCATGAAGTGAAGTCACCTATAACCAAATATTCAATTTTTTTAAAGACTTTGTCTTTTTAGGCAAATACTCTTTTTTTTTAGTTTTGTGTATATATGTATATATTTTATTTTCATTATTATTTTGTATTAGTTTCAGGTGTACAGCATAATGGTTAGACAATCATATACTTTATGAAGTGTTGCCCTCAATACTTCCAGTATCCACCACCTGGCACCATACATATAATAACCATAATTCTTAACATTCATTCACAATGATGATTTTTGACTACTGGACAAATGAGCATCAGAGGAGAACCCCACCTCACTACTCCAATTTCAATTAGGCACTTTACTTAGCTACATATAAGAAACAGATATGAATACACAAGCTTACTGTTCTAAGACCACATAATAAGGATGGGAAGGGCAGAAAATCAAGTCCAAGAGTAGGATAAGTTCTATCTACCCTTGATAACTCTATGTTCATAGTCCACATCAACTAAAGTACCTTATCTTCCCCTATTCTTTAGGACATACCTACCTCCCTTACACACGAAATAGAATCTTCATTCATCTGCTATTACATAGAAATAATGAAATATACTTTATATCACTTTCTTTTTTTTCCTTTTTTTATTGAATTTATTGGGATGACATTGGTTAATAAAATTATATAGGTTTCAAGTGTACAGTTCTATATCATCTGTATATTGTGTTCACCAATTTATATCACTTTTTTGCAGTGTTGATGGGCTGTATTTTTGTTTAGTCAAGTTTCATAAATCAAGACTAAAGAACAGCTTAAGAATACTAGTCTTGTATACAGTTTTCCTTACCTGTATAGTCAGTTCATTCTTGATACTCTGTGATTCATCAACTTGCAGAAGTATTTCTGCTTTATCTTTCACTGACAAAAAAGGAAAAAGAGTAGTATAATCTTTTCAATCACTCGAATACTTTAACAATAGTGAACCAAGATAGCAATGCAGTCAGGCAAAGATTAATTATCCTCCTCAATCAATGTATTTCTTGCTCTTATTTTTATATAGCTCTTATTTTTCATTGGTAAATTCTGATTATCACATTCTTAGAAATTTTACATTTTCTGCAGCATTAAAATATTAATTGTACAGATATGATGAAAGTAAGTTTTTCCATCTACAGTAAAAAGGACAAGGACACACAAAAATTAAAATTTCTGCCCTGGCCGGTTTGGCTCAGCGGTTAGAGCGTCGGCCTGCGGTCCGGAGAGACCCGGGTTCGGTTCCTGCTAAGGGCACGTACTTCGGTTGCAGTTTGTCCCTGGCCCTGGTTGGTCGTGCGGGTGGCAGCCACTCGATGTGTCCCTTCACATCGATGTTTCTCTCTCTCTCTCCCTTCCTCTCTCTCCCTCCCACTCTATCTGTACAAAAAATTGAAAAATATCCTCGGGTGAGGATTAAAAAAAAAAAAAAAGAGTGACTATAGTAATAAAATGAGCAGCAAAAATCCAGTTTGTATCACTCTGGGAAGACCTTTTATTTTGTTGAGTAAATAAATCACGCATCGTGAAAAATTATCTTCAATTTTTTAAGATTAAGTTTTAATTCTAAAACCACAAAAAAGCACTTACTTTCACCTTCCTGAAGCATTTTCAATAACTGTGCATTTCTTGCCTTTACTTCTTTATACTTTGCCTAATAGTCAAAGAAAAAAAGATTTTATTTTTTTAAAGTAAATGATAAAATTAATGATTACTATCAATTTATGGAGCTACAAGTTTGTGACTTGCTCAAAGACATCATTACTTTTGAAAGAAACAGGATTCAGGATATTCAGAACTGTCTACTACTTAAATTCAATCCCTGGTGATTGAAAAATAAAGAGAGGAATAAAAGTGGAGAAAACTCAGGATAATATTAAACTTTCCTGAAGCCTTTCTCTTTTCTTCCTCAAATAAAACCCTTAACATTTCAAAATAATTAGATGAAAACAAAAAGAAAACTGATTAATAGCTCTATACCAGGAGTATCCAGTACTACACTAGAACTTTCTATATCTGTTCTATATCTGCCACTGTCCAATATGTGACTATTAACTACTGGAAATGCATCTAGTATGACTGAGAAAATACATTTTTAACTTCATCTAACTTTAAATGTAGGTACATGCATGTAGTAGTTACTGAATTGTACAGCACAGTTGTGTCTTCTCAGTTAAGACTAAATGTATTAATCTCTTGTTATTTCACTAACTATTGTTAAAGTAATTTTTGGCTGATATGAATTAGTAATGTATCTTTTAATTCTTTTTCAATTTTTTCTCCAATGGCTTAGCTTTTCATACTACATAAATAATACAACTGTGTTTCTACGTTAATCTCCATATTCTGGAGAATTTTTCCCCTATTCCACACCTTTATTCAACATATAACACACTCTGAATTGCTTATAAATACTAAATACATTTAATACAGTACAGAAAAACAAGAAATCAGAAACAGATCAGTATAAGAAACTCATCATTTCTTTTTTCATCTTGTACACAGATATGTACAGAAGTTACCAGATTCAAGTCTTTCTTGTAAAACAAATTTAATGTATTTTAAATCAAGTCCAATAAATGTGATTTTTACTAAATACTCTACCCAGTAAACTGCTGATGATAAATCAGTAATGTAACTGAGTAATAATGCAGGTAATACAGTGAACAGAAGCAAGCACCACAGTAAATATAAAGGGAGTAGGACTTCTGAGCAGCTTAGAAATGAACAAGAGAGTTGTCAGATGGAAACAAAAATATGAAAGAAATAAATGTATACAATCAACTACAACTATATTCACTTTGAATGTAGAAATATATCCACTGTGAATATGAACTGTATCTTACAAAATTCTAATTCTCAGGGCTTCAATCAATGTTATTATCTCACCAAACTATCTCTAGCTCAAGCCTTTTGTTTAAGGTTCAGCTCGGTATACATGGAGTCACCTCTTATACTAGCCTTAGAGTCTAAGATGAGCACATAAAGTGGACATTGCAAATGAGCAACATTACCCATGGAAATTCAATTAGAGCGGGAGGAAGAGAGGGAGGACGAGAGAGAGAAAGAGAAACATCGATATGCGAGAGACACATCGAGTGGTAGGCACCCACACGACCCCAACCAGGGCCAGGGACATACTGCAACCAAGGTACGTGCTCTTAGCAGGAACCGAACCTGGGACTCTTTGGTCCACGGGCCGACGCTGTAACCGCTGAGCCAAACCAGCCAGGGCCCCATGGAAATTCTTTATATTGCCCATAAAAATAACATGTAATATATACAATCCTAAGTAGTAAATGTATCTATAAAAACAAATACATAAAATACTAGTACCATGCAATTTATAATAAAGAGCACAAATGAAATATACAGTGCCCTTTTTGGTATTTTTAATTTCATGAAAAAGAGAGCACTTAAAGTTAAATACATATACATCGTGACTCCACTGTGCCCTACTACATCCTTAACATCTGTGCCTGAATCCATAGCTATTTCAAATCAACATGTTCAAAATGGGATCTATTATTCCCACTGCCTAATCAAGGTCAAAATGTGCTCTTGCTCTTACACTCAATACCCGTTAATTGTTTTACCAGACTATATTCACTCCAGGCCCTCAGCTATGTGCATTACCATCCCACAGGACAATTTTCATGTCACTGACCTTTTAAATTCTGACCCCAACTAACATCCACAATTTCACGTTCTACAACTTCCCATTTCTCTAAACATCCGCAAGTGCATTTCCTATCATTCCCATGCCTTTGTATGCGCTGTTCTCTCTACCTGGAAACACCATCTTTTCTGTAAAATCCTTACCAGTTTTCAGTAGCAACAACTAATTAATTTCTGTTTCTGTGCTTCTGGAGCACTCAGTCAAATCTCAGTTATAAAGTCTACACTATAATTATTTGCATGTTTATCTTCGCCATTAGTCTATGAGCTTCTTGCTAAGTCATCCTATATTTGTCTGTCACATAGTATGTGCTCAACAAAAGCAAAAAAAAAAATATAAACGACAAAGAAAAAGCTAAGGGAAATGGGTGGGGATTATTATTAAAGGCATGAGCAGAGAAGGAAAGAAAATGTTAAAAACCATCATCAGGGCTAGAACTTCATTCATCATTTTTTCACTATTACATATGCAGGGCCTAGAAAGACACTTGAGATAAATAAGAGAAATGTTTTTAAAGCAGAAGGAAGGGAAGGAAGGGAAACAGGAGGGAAAAGGGGGAGGGGGGGAGGGAAGGGAGGGAGGAAGGGGAGAGGGGAGGGAGGGAGGGAGGGAGGGAGGGAGGGAGGGAGGGAGGGAGGAAGGGAGGAAGGAAGGAAGGAAGGAAGGAAGGAAGGAAGGAAGGAAGGAAGGAAGGAAGGAAGGAAGGAGGCAGGGAAGGGAGGGAGGGAGGGAGGGAGGGAGGGAGGGAGGGAGGGAGGAGGTTTATAGTTAAACTATAAATAACAAGTGTTAGTGAGCATGTAGAGAAACTGGAATCTTTGTGCATTGATGATGTGGAGGTAAAATGGTACAGCTGTTATGGAAAACAATTTGGCAGTACTTCAAAAGGTTAAACGTAGAAGTACCCGTATGACCCAGCAATTCACTTTTAGCTATATAACCAAAGGAATTAAAAGCAGGGATTCAAATACTTGTACACCAAGGTTCATTGCAGCATTATTCACAGTAACCAAAAGGAAACAACGCAAGTGTTCAACAACAGATGAATAAACAAAATGTACTACATACATACACTAGAATATCATTTGGTCATAAAAAGGAATGAAATTCTGACACATGCTAAAACATGGATGAACCTTGAAAACATTATGCTAAGTGAAATAAACCAGACACAATAGAACAAATATATGATTCCACTTATATGAAGTACCGGAAGAAGCAAAATCATAAAGTAGAAGTTACCACAGGCTTCAAGGGAAGAGGAAATAGTGAGCTGTTTAATGGGTACAGAGTTTGGAATAATGAAAAAGTTTTGGAAACAGTGGTGATGGCTATACAACATTACAAAGGTACTTAATGCTACTGAATTATACACTTAAAAATAGTTAAAATGGCTTATTTAATGTTATATGTATTTTACCATAAAAAAATTATCATTCCAATTTTAAAACATTGAGTTTAAAAACCAAAGCAGTAGGGAAAAAAACAAAAACAGCAGAAACATTATTTCTATCAAACATTAAATATATATAAGAAAACAAAAAATATGCAGATTACCAGTTTACAACAGTAAGTAAACACCCACCTCCCATTGAGTGATCACATTTTTCAGCTTCTGGATTTCAGCATCTTTCCTTTCAAGTTCCAACTTTAGTCTTTCAATTCTTCCATCTTTCAGAACTACTTCCTAAAGAGAGAAAAACACTATTTTAGAACTAAGCCTGCTAATTCTGGTTTACAGTATTCCTTTGTGAAAAGTTTAAAAGAAAAAAATCCCAATTATCTCTTTTAATTCATCTTCAACTGTTGATTGTATTTCCACTTCTATTCAATGATATAATTGTAATTAATTAATAAGATATTTATGATTAATCTCAAACTACAAAATTCCTAGGCTATGAAATGTCTATAAATAAACATATTAAAGGTACTCTGTGACAAGTATTAGTTTATCTTTAAGACCCAAAATAACTGAAAATGAGAAAAAACACAAAATAAATAATAAAAGCCAAAAATAAATAGCTTTTCTGTATATCAGCAATCAGCAGGTAGAAGATATAACTAGAAAAACCATTTTCTCCCAATAGCAATAAAAAATATCCCCAAGAAAAAATTCAGAAATTTTCAGGATCCATAAAGAAAATTATAAAATACTTAAAGGATATAGAACAAAGTATGTCTGCAGACAGAAAGACTAAATATTACTAAATATATTACTTTCTAAATTCAATACAATTTCAATTGAAATTCCAATAGGATTTTGTACTTTAGAACTTAGCAAGACAGTCACAATTTCATCTGGGAGAATACAGGATCAAAACAAAGTTATTGAAATGAAGAGGAATTTGCCTAAAAAATAACTCTATACAGTATAGCAAGCCTTGAAAAGCAGCAAAGTGAAAAAGGAAGTTTAGAGTCTAGATATCTAGATAAAGTGATAAAACCAAAAACAGAAATGACAGAAGTCATGCCAATGCTTGGTTTGTAGAGTAGATAATGAGCCTGCATTTGCACATAGTAAGGGCAATTACTAAAACAGAGACCTGAAGGCCATAAGGTGAGTGGGATCAGAAGTGGATGATCCCAATGTCAGTGAAGTTGTGGAGAAAACATCCTGCTGATGGAAGACAATGTTGATATGCATCAAGAGCAACACAGATGTTTATATCCTTTGACTCCTTCACTATTTTTAAGAATTTATTCCAAGGTAATAACTTATCAAAAAATTAGATAGGTAGCTCAGCTGGTGTGGGTCAGTGGTTGAGCGTCAAACCCATGCACCAAGAGGTGCCAGTTTGATTCCCAGTCAGGGCACATGCCCAGGTTGTGGGCCTGATCCCCAGTGGGGCAAGCAGGAGGCAGCCAATCGATGTTTTCTCTCATCGATGTTTCTCTCTCTCTCCCTCTCCTCTCTCTAAAATCAATAAAGAAAAACAATTTAAATCCATAAAGATGTGGCCCTGGCCGGTTTGGCTCAGCTGTTAAAGAGCGTCAGCCTACGGTCCAGAGAGACCCAGGTTCAGTTCCCGCTAAGGGCACATACCTTGGTTGCAGTTTGTCCTCGGCCCTGGTTGGGGCCGAGCGGGAGGCAGCCACTCGATGTGTCCCTTTCACGTCGCTGTTTCTCTCTCTCTCCCTCCTACTCTATCTGAACAAAAAATGAAAAAATGTCCTCTGGTGAGGATAAAAAACTTTTTAAAATACATAAAGATGTTCAATGAGTATTGGGTGACCAATGCTAAACAGCCTAAATGTTCAATAGCAAGAAAATTACAGCATATTGATTCAACAGAATATAATGCATGGTTTACAAAAGGGCTATGAAACTATATTACTTACTGTTACAATTATTTTTAAATACCTACTCATGGCATTTTCCTAGAAAAGAAGTATTGAGAAATGAAACCAAATGTTGTGTTAAGAATGGTCAAATTAGGGTTAAATTATTTTTTTCACCTTTAAACATTCCCAATATATTAATTAATGTACAGTAAAAATGGATTTTAACCTTTGCAAAAAGAGGAGCTTTCTTTCTCTGAGAAAGAAGCACAATGGAGAGAGGAAGGAGGTAAAAAAAGAGAGTATTTTATTATAATTATTGTTGTTGTTATTAACCCTCACCCAAGGATATTTTTTCCATTGATTTTTTAGAGAGAGTGGAAGGGAAGGGAGGATTGAGAGAGAGAGAGAGAGAGAGAAACACCAATGTGAGAGAGAGACATCAATCAGTTGCTTCCTGCACACACCCCAATCGGGCCTGGGGATCAAACCTGCAACCCAGGTATGTACCAGAAATCGAACCCATGACCCTTCAGTGTGTGGGCCAACGCTCTAACCACTGAGCACACTTTCCAGGGCAGTATCTTTTTAAAAATAATTATTTTATTTAGAAAGAAAGGGAGAGATAGAAACATGGATCACCTCCTGCACACCCCCTACTGGGGATCGAGCCTACAACCAAGACATATAAATGGAAGGGAGACTTCTCAGTCCATGGGATGATGCTCAGTCCACTAAGCCACTCCGGCCAGGCTGTAGAGTATTTTTTTAAATGGCCTCAATCTTCTTTTTTCCCATTATACTCAATGACATAATATGAGAAAATACTAATTTTTTTAATTATGAAAAATTTCACATGTGCCCTGGCCAGTTTGGCTCAGTGGTTAGAGCGTCGACCTGTAGTCCAGAGAGACCCAGGTTCGGTTCCTGCTAAGGGCACGTGCCTTGGTTGCAGTTTGTCCCCGGCCCTGGTTGGGTCATGCGGGAGGCAACCACTCAATGTGTCCCTTTTACGTCGATGTTTCTCTCTCCTTCCCTCCCTCCCACTCTATCTGAACGAAATATGGAAAAATGTCAAGTGAGGATTAAAAAAAAATTTTTCACATATGCAAAAGAAATACATATAAACAATACAGGTAAAACAAAAGAAAAAAAGAATGCAATATACAGATTAGGATTTGGAACACTGAAAATAGAATGGAGAATCCTCAAAAAATTAAGAACAGAGTTACCATATGACCCAATAACATCTCTTCGGGGTATCTACCCCAAAAATGTGAAAACATTTATTTGCAAAGATATATGCACCCCTATGTTCACTAAAGCATTATTTACAGTAGCCAAGACATGGAAACAACTGAAGTGTCTGTCCTTCAATAGATTGGATAAAGAAGATGTGGTACACTACTCAGCCATTACAAAAGATGAAATACTGCCATTTGTGACAACGTGGTTAGATCTTGAGAATGTCATGTTAAGTGATGCAAACCAGACAGAAAAAGTCAAGAACCATATGGTTTCACTATATGTGGGATATAAAAGTGAAAGCAACAAATGAACATACAAGAAAAACAAACAAAAACTCAAAAGCTCAGACAACAGTATAGTGGTTACCAGAGGGAAGGGGGTAGGGGAGGTAGTAAAGGGAGTCAAATATATGATGACGGAAGCAGATCTGACTTTGGGTAGAGGGCACACAATGCAATATACATATCATGTATCATAGAAATGTACACTTAAAACCTATATAATTTTGTTAATCAATGTCACCCCAATACATTTAATGGAAAAAACATTGAACATTACCAATAATTTGGCATCCCCCATGTGCCTATCCCTGGTCTTATCTGTACCCCTCCCCCTCCTGTTACAAATTTTGTCAATCTCTTCCTCTTAGTCTTTTACTACATACATATATCCCTAAAATATATAGTTTTCTACTTTTTGAAATTAATATAAATGGCATCAAACTATTATTTGGTGACTTGATTTTGTTTTTTTTTATTCCTCTGCACGAAAATCTTCAATAAAAGGCGAAAGATTTATGCGATTTGAAGAGAAACCAGGGTATGGTGACTTGATTTTTTAAAAGTAAACATTATGGTTTTTATATTCATCCATGTTGCTAAGTATAGTTGTCATTCATTTCTCCTACTGATTCTGTAATTACAAACAGCTGAGTTTTCAACATTCTTCTTGAACACGTTTCCAGGATTTAATCTAGGGTAGAATTTCTAGAACATACAGTCTGCCCATCATCTCCAACTTTATTTATTTTTTGGTTAATCCTCACCCAAGGATATTTTTCCATTGTTTGTTTGTTTTTTTATCCTCACCCCAGGACATTTTTCCATTTTTTGTTCAGATAGAGTGGGAGAGAGAGAGAAACATCGACGTGAAAGAGACACATCGAGTGGTTGCCCCCCGCACAACCCAACCAAGGCCGGGGGAAAAACTGCAACCAAGGTATGTGCTCTTAGCGGGAACCAAACCCGGGGCTCTCCAGACCACAGGCCAACACTCTCACCGCTGAGCCAAACTGACCAGGGCTCCACTGATTTTTTGAGAAAGTGGAGGGGGGAAGAAAGAGGAGGAAGGGAGCAGGGCGGGAGAGAGAGAGAGAGACAATTACTGGTTGCCTCCCATCAGGGCCCATGATCGAACCTGCAACCTTAGTACATGCCCTTGACTAGGAATCGAATTTGCAACCCTTCCATCCACAGGTCGATGCTCCAACTGCTGAGCCAAAGTAGCCAGGGCTCATCCTCAACTTTAAAAGTTAATGCCAAATTGTTTTCCAAAATTGTTATACCAATTTACACTATCACTAATATTTTAGTTACTGTTGTTCTATATCCATAACAATACTGAGTATCATCTATCTAATTCCTATCACTAGTCCTCACCTTCATTTAGATTTTCCTAGGCAATGCAGTGGAAATTAATATCACCATATATAACCCTGTTCTATACTGGAACACTTTAAAAAATTCTTTACTATCTACTAACTAAATCATAAATCGGGATTTTAAATCTTCCACAATCTTTTCCAACCTACCTTACCAAACTTAACTGATGCTATTCTCCTCTGTGATCCTTCTGTTTTAATTAAACTGGTTTATACTTCACTGCCTCAATACTTTTAGTCATGGCATTCCAGTTTCTGCTCCCTCGCCTCTACATGTTCAAATTCTACCGTCTTTTAAATTCTAATTCAAAAGCTATTTTCTTCTAAGAAAGCTATCTCTGATCTCCATTCATGTAACTTACTATCACACTTTATCAGTATATCCTTTTCTTGGACTTACCATTTTCTACCTTGTACAAAAATAATTATCTATTTATTAAATGTGTACTGTGTACAACATGCTCTGCCAAACATTTTAAATTATAATTGCTAATTTTCCTAACAGTACATGACAGACAGATAATTTCATCCCAATGTAACACAGGTGATAAACTGCAGAAGCTATTATCTTGTGTTACTAGGTTTGATTTCAAAGACTTTTATCCCTTTCTACCATAGTGCACTGTCCTATGGTTTTCATTTAACTAAACATATATACCCAATTTTGTTCTACAAAAATTTAAGATGCCTATTTGTTTAAATATATAAATGTCATTCTTTCTATCAAAAAATTATTTGAAATGGCTAAAAAAATAAGAAATTATGGATCATAAATGTTAACATGGTTGCTTGGACTATACATAAATTTTGACAGTCAAGGCAAGACAAGAAAATATTAAATTTAATTCAATGCCAGAAAAGAAGCAGCTCTCAAGTACCTCAGGGCAGGCAAGGCTTACCCACTACTAAGTTGAAAATAGATTTTCATGTGGAATTATGTTAGTGTTATTTATTAACCAATCTTATTGCTTGCATTGGAATAAACAGCTCTTAAGGGTCTGAATTCTCATGTCCTATAAACAATATAGTAGGTGTTTAATTTGTTGAATGATTGAATTTATGAGTCTTAGGAAACAAAGAGATAACATCCATTGAAGAGAATGACAAAATGGGAAATGAGCTTTTAGAATTTGGAATAGCCACTGTAGGAATCTTTCCAAGTCAGAAAGAGATGAATCAAGACTGTTAAGTAGAAATAAGGATATGGTAAAAGTTAGACAGCACTGATTTTCAGAACAGAACATTAGCACTGTTTTTTCAGCAATACCTGGCAACCCAGGAATTAATGCTGTGTACTGGCAAACAGGGAATAAAAGAAAATCAAGGAAAAAGAAAGCATTCACATATAAGATAAATAACAGGTTCATGGTTTAAGAGAAAGTAAGATAGAAGACTAGAGGTTGTCATCAGAAATAGATTTGTAAGTCTCTATATGATGAGATCTTTTTTTTTTTCTTAACCCTCACCCAAGGATGTTTTTATTGATTTGAGAAAGAGAGGAAGGGAGAAAGAGAGAGAAACATCAATTGGTTGCTTCCCGTACACTCCCTGACTGGGGATCAAACACCCAGCCTAGGTATGTGCCCTGACCAAGAATCAAACGTGAAACCTTTTGGTGTACAGGATGATGCTCCAACTGAGCCACCTGACCAGAGTAAGATCCTTTTTTAAAAACAGTATTTTAAAAATGTGAATGACAAGCAAAATAGAGACAAACTCACAGAGAGCAGTCTGACAGCTGTGTGTGGGGGTGGGAGGTAAAGGGACTGGTTGGAGAGGTAGAGGGATTGAGCAAAAAAGAAAGAAAATCATAGACACTGAAAACAGTGTGGTGTTTGCCGGAAGGGAGTGGGAGAAGGTAGAGGAAGGTATAGAGGGGATAAATGGTGATGGCCAGAGACTTGACTTGGGGCGGTGAACACACAAGACAGTGCACAGATGATGTGTTGTAGAATTATGCACCTGAAATCGGTATAATTTTGTTAACCAGTATAACCCAATAAATTCATTAAAATGGAGAAAAAGAAATAAAATAAAAATGTGAATATCATTCTTAGCTTGTGCGCCTTATAAAAACAAACTACTGCCCTGGCCGGTTTGGCTCAGCGGTTAGAGCGTCGGCCTGCGGTCCTGAGAGACCCGGGTTTGGTTCCCGCTAAGGGCACGTGCCTCGGTTGCAGTTTGTCCCCGGCCCTGGTTGGTCGTGAGGGTGGCAGCCACTCGATGTGTTCCTTTCACATCGATGTTTCTCTCTCTCTCTCTCTGTTCCTCTCTCCCTCCCACTCAACCCCTGGTCTACAGGATAAAAATCTGACTTATTTTCACATTAAAAGACCTTTATAATCTAAATGCAATCTATTTCTCCAGTCATATTATCCCACACTCACTTAACTCTATACTTCTTAGATGCAGAATTTTTCCGTTTCCTGAATATTCCGTCTAAGGCCTTTCATAACTCCGGGTCTTTGTTCTTACAAATCCCTTAGGCTTTCTCCAATTCTCAGCTTACACAGTTATTTATTCATCATTCAAAGTCCATCCCAAATGTCACTTCTTTTTGTACCTTTCACAATTTACTTGAGTGATCTATTAACCTTTTCTATTCAAAATTTCTTCCTTGTTCACATCTCTCCTAAAGCCTTCATCATGCTGAATGATATTCTTTTTATAGGTCTATCTCCTCCAATCCCCACTACTTTGCACGTCTAAGGAAAGGATGGTCTTATCCATCTTGGTATTCCGACTCCCCTCCACTGGAGCCTAATAGTGCCTAGTATATAGCACATATTCAATAAATATTCACCAATGAATGAAGTACTTCATACTTTTTAATATAAACATCTATGACTAAGACAAATCCTAAAGCTATACCTTAACAGAATCACAACTGGATTCCACTGCGTATGTTTTTGTTTTGTTTTTTAAGAAAAATTGTATTTTAGTTTTATTGTGATTTTTAAGAGAATTTTCTATTTTACATGCCTGGTTGTGTTCATGAGCTGCACAATTATCTGTTCCATTATATTCTGTAAGCTGTTCTCTTCTTTTTTCTCTAGTAAGAATTTTATGAACATCATCTTCCAGTCTATTGAAGAATCCTCCATCATGTGATAAAGTCTGAGAAGAACTCAATTCCTGTCAAAAATGAATTTTGATTTACTATCATTTAACACAAAAGTGTATGCATTTAATAAGCCTAGTCAGCCAATAAAAAGAAAATGAAAAAAAAAGGGTAACTAAGAGACTATCAACCATCTAATTCTCCTCTATCTCCAGAAGATAAACAGTAGAGACACATTTTGAAATGTTTTCATACTTCTTCATATTTTCTAAGTCGGGTATTACTTGATTAAAAAAAAATTTAATCCATATACTATACAATTCAGCCATTTAATGTGCACAATTCAATGGTTTTAAGTATTCTCACAGAGTTGTACAATCATAACCAAAATCAATTTTATAACAGTTTCATCCCTAAAAAGAAACCCTGAAGCTTTTAGTGGTCATTCCTCATTTCTTCCTAATACCTGCCCTGCCCCCATCCCAGTTGTCCCCTGGGCAAGACTACTTTCTGTCAGTATAGATTTGGCTACTCTAGACATATAACATAAATGAATTCATATAAAATGTGGTCTTTCTTCACTGGCTTCTTTCACTTAGCAAAATGTTTTCAAGGTTCATCTATATTATAGTATGTATCACTACTTCATTCCTATTGCCAAATAATATCTCATTGATGGATACACCACATTTTATTTCTCCCTTCACTGACTGATAGGCATTTGGGTTGTTTTCATTTTTGGCAATTGTGTATAATGCTGTTATAAATATTCAAGCACGAGTTTTTGTATGGACATGTTTTCAATTCTCTCAGGTATATATATGCCTTGAAGTAGAATTGCTGAGACATATGGTAATTCTATGTTTAATCTTTTAAGGAACTGCCAGATCGCTTTTCAAAGTAGCCAGACTATTTTACAATCCCACTAACAGTGCATGAGAATTCTAATTTCTTCACATTCTCACCAAAATTTATTATCTGTCCTTTTCTTTTAATCCTCACCCAAGGATAAGTTTTTTTATTGATTTTTAGAGAGAAAGGGAGAGAAAGAGAGGAGAGAGAAACATCAATGTGAGAGAAAAGTATCAATCGGTTGCCTCTTGTATGCACCCTGACCGGGGATCGAACCCTCAACCTAGGTATGTGTCCCAACCAGGAATCAAACACATAAGCTTTAGGTATATGGGACAACACTCCAACTGAGCTACCTGGTCAAGGATTTTTTTTTTTTTTTTTATTGATTTGAGAGAGAGAGGAAGAGAAAGAGAAACATCAATTTGTTGTTCCACTTATTCATGCATTCATTGGCTGATTCTTATACGTGCCCTGACCAGGGATCAAACCTGCAACCTTGGTGTATTAGGATGATGCTCTAGCCAGATGAACTACCTGGCAACAGGAATAGGTGTGGAAAGGTATTTCATTGTGGTTTTGAGTTGCATTTCTCTGATGCCTTGTTTCAAGTACTTATTGGACATTTACATATCTTTTTGGAAATATGTCCACTCAGATCCTTTGCCCACTTTTTAATTAGGTTGCTTTTATTTTTGCATTCTAAGAGTTCTTTATATATTCTATAGATACAAGTCTCTTACCAAATATATGATTAGCAAATATTTTCTCCCATCCTGTCGGTTCTCTTTTCACATTCTTGAAGGTGTCCTTTGTATCACAAAAGTTTTTAATTTTGACAAAGTTCAATTATCCAAGAAACCACTGCATAACTCAAGGTCACAAAGAGTTACTACTATATTTTCTTCCATGAGCTTTAGTTTTAACTCTTACATTTAGGTCTATAATTTATTTTCAGTTATTTTCTGTGCATGGTGTGAAGAAGAGGGTCTAAATTCATTTTTTTTCTCCCTTTTTATTAAATTTATTGGGGTGACACTAGTTAACAAAGTTATATAGGTTTCAGGTGCACAATTCTACATACAACACATCATCTGTACACTGTATTGTATGTTCAACACCCCAACAAATCCATTCTTTTTCATGTAGATATCAGCATCACCTGCTGCAAAGATTACTCTTTCTCCACTGAATTCTTTTGGCACCCTTGTTCAAAATCAACTGAACATAAATGTACAGGTTTCTTTTCTGGAGTTTTAATTTAAAGTTAAATACACTTGCCCATGAGTCATTATATTGCTAAGTGGTACAGATATATACCACTAAATGGTAGACTCTAAGTCTACTGTTTGAAAAAATAAATTCTGCTATACTCCACTAAGATTTCATTTTAAAGCAACCTTTATGGCTACTATTACATCATACTAGACTGGCTTGATTATTGCACCTTCGTATTCCTCAATTTTTACAATACATTTAAAAATAATTTCACATAAATTATATACATCAATGATAGAGATAAAATTTTATTATAATCTACTCAATTACATAAAATTACAAAATTTACATATTCTCCAAGAAAAGTAGCATTGCCTTTCTAACTTAATGTTTCAAAGTCAGAGAATGGAGAAAATGTCCCTCTCACTCTCATTGGTTCCACCTAAGTCCTACATTTTTGAGCAATAATATCCTAATTTTATCCATTTTAATTGAATTCATGAGCAAATGACCCAACAGTTCATTGACTGCTCATCCTTTTCCCTTTACGTTATGTTAGAAAGTGTCTGAGAGAGAAAAAAAAAAAAAAAAGTTATCAATGCTTAATAGCTATACAAATGACATTAAGGACTACAACTCCCACAGGGCAGTGGGCCATGGTTCCCACATTGCCACCGTGGGCCAGCCACCTTGCAGCAGATTTGCTGCCATGGTGGGGGAAAGGCAGGAAGATGGCTGACATGGTCATGGGCAGAGACAAGTGCAGGGAGCCATGCCTCATGTTGCTGCCCTGTCCCACATCCAGGTCCTCATGAAGATATCCCGAGTTGTCCAGCATCAACCAGGAGGCGCTCCTGCTCACAGCTAAGGCTATGGAACTCTTTGTTCAATATCTAGCCACCTATTCCAATATGCATGGCAGTGGAAAAGAAAAGAAAGCACTTACTTATGCCCAGCCAGTGTGGCTCAGTGGATTGATCATTGTCGCATGGACTGAGATATCCCGGTATCATTCCCAGTCAGGGCATATACCCAGGTTTTGGGCTCGATTCCCAGTAGGGAATGTGCAGGAAGCAGCCCATCGATGTGTCTCTCTCACATCGATGTTTCTATCTCTCTCTCCTCTCTAAAAAATCAGTAAAAACTTAAAACAAAAAAAAGGCACAATGATTTATCAAATACTGCAAAGAAATTGGAAACTTTTCCGTTTCTTGCCAAAAAAGATATTAGCTAGTAAATATCTGAAAATGCTTAAGGAGAAAAGGGAAGAAGAGGAAGGGGAGAACAACAACGCTGATGACAGTGATGATGATGATGAAGTGGAATCCTAAACCCCAAACAAAATGCTTTAAAAGTCAGCCTGATGCAAAAAAATGGAACTAGACCATCAACTTACACCATACACAAGAATAAACTCAAAATGGATAAAAGACTTAAATATGGCTCATGAATCCATAAAAATCCTGGAAGAAACTGTAGGCAACCAAATTTCAGACATCATACGTAGCAGAATTTTCACTGATACATCCCCTAAGGTAACAGAAACAAAGGAGAAAATGAACACATGGGACTACATCAAACTACAAAGCTTCTGCACAGCAAAAGATACAATCGTCGAAATGGAAAGGCAGCCCACTGTTTGGGAGAGCATAATTGCCAATGATATATCAGATAAGGAGTTGATTTCCAATATGTATAGAGTGCTCATACAATTCAACAAAAGGAAGATAACCCAATTAAAAAATGGGCAGAGAAGCTAAATAGACACCTCTCCAAACAGGACATACAAATGGCCAAGAGACATATGACGAAATGCTCAACATCACTAATCATCAGAGAGATGCAAATTAAAACAACAATGAGGTATCACCTCATACCTGTCAGAATGGCCGCCATCAATAAATCATCAAACAAGTGTTGGAGAGGGTGTGGAGAAAAGGGGACTCTAGTACACTGCTGGTGGGAATGCAGACTGGTGCAGCCACTACGGAAAACAATATGGTGTTACCTCAAAAAATTAAAATTTGAACTGCCATTTGACCCAGTGATCCCACTTCTAGGAATATACCCTAAGAAGCCTGAAACACCAATCAGAAAGAATGTATGTACCCCCATGTTCATAGCAAGCACTATTTACAATAGCCAAGATCTGGAAACAGCCCAAGTGTCCATCAGTAGACAAATGGATAAAAAAGCTGTGGTACATACACACAATGGAGTACTACGCAGCTGTAAGAAAGAAAGATCTCTTATCCTTTGAGACTACATGGAGGGACCTGGAAAGTATTATCCTAAGTGAAATAAGCCAAACAGAGTAAGACAAGTATCCTATGATCTTACTTATTTGTGGAATATAATGAACATAACAGTCTGAGGAATGGGGTAGTCCCAGAGACATGGAAGTGGGGTGCAGACTGACAAGCCCTTGAAGAAGGGGTGGTGGGGGAGAGATAAACCACAGAACTTATATGCATGTATGCATGAACAATGGACATGGACAACAAAGCTGGGGACAGGGCAGGAGGGAGGGGAAGGGGGGAATCAGTGGGGGGGGGGGGAAACATCTGTAACAAAAATAAATTAATTAATTAAAATAAATAAAAGTCAGACTGGTGAGAACCCTCCTGGATTAGCACAACACTGTGCAACTTTAGTCTCTTCACTTTTCAGAGACTTCGAAGACCATGTTTTTAGTTTGTTTTTTAAAATCAATTTTAAAATTAAAAATTTGTACAGCACTTTATATTTTACAAAGGACTTACACAAACATCACTTTATTTGAATCTTATCAACACTACAAGAGGATGATAAAATAAGAATTATTTCCCACGGCTTCATGAAAGTTAAATACACTTGCCCATGAGTCATTATATTGCTAAGTAGTATAGATATAACTCTAAGTCTACTGCTTCAAAAAATAATTCTGGTATACTCCACTAAGATTTCATTTAAAGCAATGCTTAAAAACACTACTGAGCTTCTGTGAAATAAATAGCAGGGTGAT